GGTTTTTGGTTTAAATTTTGTGGCACTCTTTTTCTTTTTTTTTTTTTTTTTTTTTTTTTTTTTTTGGGAACACTGCCACCGCGTACTGACTCCGCGCCCACCACCATCTCTGAAGTCCCTACTCCAGTGGATTTGTTGCTGTTGCTCCAGCAAGCTCGAGTCTTGCTTATCCGCCTCCCTCCTCTGCAAGCTCCTCGCCTAGCTGCCCTACTCCACCGAGATCTGCCTAGGCCAGCCCTCCTTCGCCCAGGCCACCCTCGCCCATATCTGCCTAGTTCCTCCGCCTCCTTTGCCAAGCTAGTCACCCTCTTACAAACTCAACAATTTTCTTTACCATTGATTTAATTAAAAATTTTATTTATTTTTTAAAAGATTATGATAAAGAATTAATTATATACATATATGTTTTAAAAATAGGGCAACTTTGTCAAAATAAAATAATAGCATTTCATTTAAAACTCTAACCAGGAATACACTCTTGCATTTATTCCATTTCTTAATATATTCCAACAGTGAGAAATTTAAGCAATTGATCTTACTTCAACCTTAAGTAATGTGAAAATTAACGTTTTGAGCTTGCAGCTATTGTCAACTCAAAATTTAACATCAATCTAACTTGCAAACCAAAAATAAATATGCGTAGGCCTAGCCTGATTAAAAATTGACAAATAACATACATATAGTAATTAACAAATATTTATTTACGATAATAAATAAACTCCAATTCTATTTCATTATCATAACAAGTTTGATTAAAAATTGCGCACACTTTCTTCTAGTTTCTTTTTCAAGTTACAAAATTCCTTTTTTTTTTTTTTTTTTTTTTTTTTGCACACATTTGGTTGTTTGGGATTTCAAGTCAAAAGAGAGAGAGGCTTTAACAAACGACTCACTTCATTTACTCCAAAAAATAAAAATAAAAACAAAAATAAAAATTACAGACGACAAAAAAAACATCTCTTTCATATCTTTTTGTCTTCTTCGCCGATTCTTTTCTTGTCTCACGTTAAATCCTAATCTATTTGATTTGAATTGCCCGTTTGGTTTCTTTCCACATCTTCATTTTTCCTTTTCAAAATATCAGTTCTTCCTTGTAAAACAATTGTACTAACCACAACGATATTGAGATCATTGCCATGGCGGTTTCAGCCTTCAAATCTTCTTCCAGAAGAAGCAATCTCACTAACCCTTCTTCTTCTTCTTCTTCATCAACCGCCACACCGAGTGTTCGACCAAACGCCGACGCTTCACCGGCGAGGAAGCCAGCCACTCTCCGGAGATCGAGAAGCGTAAGCGCATTTTCCAGGACCAGTTCAGAAATCCCGGCGTCCTCTTCCGACGATTTCCTCAACAAGAGAGACAATCCGCTATTCTGGTCCACCGGCTCGCCGCCTGACCTCGAGATCAATCCCGTCTCGGTTGCTCCCTTAAAGGGCGTCGTATCCGATTCCGGCGAGGCCAACCGGAAGAAGGAGAGCTCCGATGGGAGGGGACGACAGGCTGCGAGAAATCCCGATGCTTTGCCCGGTAGGAAGGAGGTCGGACGGAGCTTGTCGAGGGTCGACGCCGGTCGCCGCAATCGATCCGTGTCTCGAGGTCCTGTTTCGAGGAGACATTTCGTCAATTCCGAGGTTTGGCGTTATTTTCTGAGAAAGTTTGATTGTTTTTTGTGAACTTTAGGGGGAAAAACTTGTATTTTTATGAATTTCGTCGTCCTACTACAGAATTTTCCTTTTAGGATAAAAAGTTGAAATATTTGATTGATGTTGTTGGGTAAAGGAGGGATTCTGTGTTTGTTGTTTGTACAGAGTGAAGCAGAGCAAGAATGTTGTTCAGTGAAGAAAATTGGGAGTAGAAACAATTCAGATTTTGAAACGGGTAATGATAAAGATAAGAGAAGTTTGGTTAGAACTCGAAACAGTTCAGATATGGCGGATCAGAAGGGTCTAAAGACGTGGTCAAGTCGGCATTTGGCTTTGGAGCCTTCACGTGATTCTGCTTTGAATTCGGTACAAACTATGCAGACTTACTTTCTGAATTTGCAATGTGCATACTTGAAGGTAATTTGTGGAGGGAAACTAATTTTTTACTGCATTTGGGATTTGTGTATGTTTCATTCTCAGTCTCGTTCACATCCGTCGACTTGGGACGATGAAGAGAAGACCATTAAAGTTTTTTGCGAGCAAATGAAGGTGGGATGTGAAGTTAGTTATGGTGAATTTTGTTGTGTTTGTGTTATTTTTATTTTTTTTAGAAAGAAATAAAATTTTATCTGTACAGAAACATGACAACAAAAGTGACACTTTGAAAACAAGAGATTATGAAACAAAAGTAACAGATTGTGTGTTCGTGTTATTAGAATTTCGTCTGATAATTTGGCTTTGAAAGGCTAGTATAGAATTTGCTGGTAATAATTGATAAAAAAGCGTCCTTTGTATTATATACTTAGCCTTTGCAGTCGTCAGTCAAAGGGGACCCTTTGGAAAGCGATGCTACTGCAAGTGGTATATATGAAACCGTTCGATCTGAAGTGAGGCGTGCAATATCTGAAATCCAAAATGACCTTCAAAAGGTATGTTTTCTTTATGGGTTTTTATATGTTATTTTCCGTTTCCGTTTTTTCCTTTTTGACATGTAGGTTTTCTTTAGGGACCATTTAGAATTTTTAGTATTTACAGGGTTTAGGTTGGTATGATTTTTTTTCCCCCTTCTTTTTAGCTGAGCTCATACGGAAAAGGGCTTTGGTCAGTTGGCATTTTAATAGATAGGTATTTGTTAAAAAAAAAAAAGTGTTCTCATTTCAAGATGTGTTTCGGTAGTTGTTTATTTTTTTGCCATTCTAATGTAAATCACTTGGCAGTCATTTGATTTCTTGTCTGGTGACTGTGATATTGACAGGTCTTGTTAGTTAGAGATGTTCTACTTTAATCTTCCTTGCTTTTGTCTATATAATGTTCGGAGGCCCTGTAAATCCGCCATGTTGATTTTTCCTTCTCCTATGAAATCTTGGATTTCCAAGTCTAGCTTGCATCTGCATCACTTGGTTCCCCATCACCGGGCCTTAACAAATAATTTTTGAGCTGATAATACTAGTTTCAGACTTTCCATATTTTCGAATTTTCAGTCAAGTAGTCCTTGTGGAGAAACTTTTCATAACTATATTCATGAATTTAAGAAAGGAGAGAATTTTTGAATTTTTAGTTTGAGAAATTATATTTGAAATGTAGTCACAGCCGCTTATCAAAAAAAGAAATGTAGTTGCAGGCTCGTAGCCCGCACAAGTCATATTTATGCTCAATTTTTTCTTTGCTCCTGACAAGTTAGGCCATTCAAAGGAGTAATACTTCTGCTATTGCTACTACAAATATAACCGATATTCCTCCTGATCTGGTAAGCCCAAGTGCAGTTGAATTGGTTTTGGACATCAGAAGAGAATATGCCAAAAAGCTTGAGCAGGTAACCTCTTTTCCTTGTTGACAACTTATTTGAGGACTTTGCTTAACAACAGTTTGTCATAGTAAGTAGTTTCAGTGTCACATACTGAGAATTCCATGTTGCTTATTTAAACCAAATTTTCTGTTGGTATTTATGTAGGGCATGTAAGGTGTTTTTTTTTTTTGGCTAACGTTCACATAGATGATATTAATTATAATGACGTATGCACTAAGCAGATTACTTTTGTGCAAAGATTTTGGATTTCCAGTGTTAGTGTGCATACGGTTTCAAGAGTTGTCTCTTGATTGAAGGTGGTCACCGCGCACTGTTCAAAGTCTGATGATCGTCTCTAGTTAGTTTCTTTGAAGATACAAAAAATTTGTGGTGATGTTAAAACTGTGTTCTCCTGGTACCTTGGTTTAAATACTTCGTTGAGATAGTAATGAATGGTCAAAGTTGATTCCTTCAATGGTATCGTACCATTGAACTAAAACAGGAGAGTAAGGTAATGATATTATGCTAGATAGAGTCAACCTGAAATTTTGACCTTTTATTCTAGATCTCTCTCTCTCTCTCTCCCTTTTATTTTATGTTGCTTTTTTTTTCCTTTTATATGGGAGTGAAGCTCTACTAATAAGAGAGAAAATCTCCTAAACTTTCAGTCCCAAGAACGTGCTAGAAAACTTCGAGGAGATTTGGCTGTGGAAGAACACCGTGGACTGGAGCTGAGCCGAATCTTGAAAGAAGTACTTCCAGATCCCAAGACCTCGAATGTACCAAAGTCTCGTACAACAAGAAAAGTTCGTCTTGTTTCTTCCTTTTCTCTTGGTATTTAAGGTTGTAGGCTAATGCTTTAATAGGAGCCCAACAGGGTACTAGGATTTATTTATTTGCAAATTACAGACTCATATATGGTATTCCTTTTATTTTCCTTTTTTTTTTTTCCTTAAATGTGAGGAAAGTTATCATTATGAGTTAATTTTCTATATTGATAGGGATCTTTGTTCTTGTCTTTTGTTGTCACTTACATTAGATTCTAGAAAAATGTGTTTTTGTCTGTGTAATAAATTACAACCTAAAGAATTTTTAATTTCTCCCTCTAGAGGTATTAAACGCCACTCATGAAAATTGTATGCATTTATGCACAAGGCAATCATGGGTGTATAATTTTCTATTTGCTTGGGATGGACAATAGAACTTTCGTACATAAGTAGTATATAAATATGAGTATGGCTGCTTTTTTTTTTTTTAAGTTAAATTTATTAAGTATGCTTACGCAAACTTATGAAATGCGATCACAGGGTAGCATTGAAAAGAGGAAGATGTCCAAACGTCTAACAGAAGAGGCCATGGCTTACTTCGATGAATGTGTTTCTTTATCGACATTTGATAGTTCCGACTTCTCATCACAAGAGGACGCACCTTTTGAACTAGCTGGTGTTAATGCCTATGTTGCCAATAATGTATCGTCACTCCAAGCAAGCTCAAGTGCTTCCACCACCAATAGCTCAAACAGTTGTTTGAAGGATAAACAGGTGTGTATTAAAGTGGGGTACCATACTTTCTTAAGGAATATGAAATTTTAAACCTTAAATAGTGCATCGACAAAATTAACAAATTGCATCCATTATTATTCTGTGTCCTGTAATCCCAATCTCTCTTCACTCTTCCCCATTGTGAAATGAAAGAACAATGATCTTGAGGCTTGTTACATGAAACACATGTTTTCCTCTTGCCTTGTTTCCCTAATAGCGGGGATGTGTAGATGATCAGCAATTAAGTGCACCTATGAATTTAGTTCTCTGCTACTCTTACCTCATTATTTGCGTATATGATATATTGCATAATATTTTTGGGAGGTTAAACGAATTAATTAATACTGAACTCCTCAGAGATGACTGATGTAGGACCAAGTTAGAAAATAAAGAAGAGATAGAATCTAGATAGAAAAAGCCAGAACCTAAATAGAATTAAAGGAGAGAAATAGAGGATTCAAGAGAAAAATAAGAACCCAAAAGGGGAAAACTGGAAACTTGATATCATGAAATTCCAATCACTAAGGTATTTATAGTCTAAAGTTTCAAAAGAAATAAAATAAAGGAAGAAAAGGAAGTTAAACCCTGTTAAATTCCAAGGGTGTTTTTGGTTCATAGGTTTGAACCACAATTCAAATCTTTTTTGCTACAATACTTTCTCTCATAAAAGTTTGAATTTTTGTTCAAACCTATGAACCAAACAAGCAAAACAGTCCTGAGAGCTAAACATAATATTAAATTCAGAATTTAACTATTAAAGTAAAACATATCCTATACAATTCAAATTAGTATTGAGACCTAAACATAATATTAAATTCAGAATTAAATAATTAAAGATAAAACATATCCCAATACATAACTATACAATTCAAATTCGTACTATCCAAATCGAGTTCTTCAACAACTGAGTTTTATGGAAAACAATATAACAGGACTCGGGCTTTCAAGTTCACGTTGCAAACATCAATGATGCTGCGGACCTAATAGCAAGCAGTAGCCATAAGGAGCCCCATTTAGATCAATGTAGTCCGACCAGTGTGAACGCAGCACGGCATTGGAAATCTCCTTTCTCGTTTGCTCGTAATAAGCCAATGGAAACTACTAATCTACAACAGGGCATTCAGAAGTACATCAGAAATTCGGAGAAAGACATCAGGAAAGGTGATAATGACATTAACTTCCATTTGTTGAGATCAAGCAATTGCGACTTGGATGAGCATAATTTGCAGGCTGTGGCCCAAAGCTTTGTGTTTGACAGGGTGGTAATGAGAAATAGAATAGAATCTAGTAGTTTGCTACTCTGCAGTGGTGGGGTTTCAGTTTCGTTTTCTCCTTTTGCTTCTTTTTTCTAAATCTATGTTTAGCTCCACACTCCTTCGGTTCGGGATAATTTGTAACTTAGAAAATCTGTAATATAATTTTGATCTCTATTGTATTATAGATGAGAAATTTAGTTGAAAACTTAATATTGTAACTACGGTCAAGCTTGTTTGCTCTGTTAGTTTGTATATATGAATATTGTTGAACGTTTTAAGGTTTAAAATTTTAAGTGTGTGTGTGTTGTTACATGTGACATTGATGGATACAAGCAGCGAATTTGAGTGGTTGGACAAAGGAAACTAATCCCCAAATTGTTAGAAGAATTCAAAGACTAGATGAGCCAGAATATATATGGCTATGGAGATGAAGAAAAGCTTGGAAGGGAAAAAAAGAAGTTGGTGGAAATTACAGAGTTTTTTGAAGCAAAAAGCAAATGGATGGAAAGAATGAAGCGCAAAGTCGTTATTTTCTGCGTACAATGTTGTTTTCCTTGATTTGCAAATTTGCATGTTCGAGAAATTTTGATAAATACTCTTTAAAAGTGTATGGATCTTAATTTTTATTACTTATTTTTTATTAATACTCTTCTTAGTCAAATAATTATATCAATAGAAGGGTATTCATTAAGAATAATAGATAAAAATTTAGACCGTGCACTTTTAAAGGTAAATTTAACAATTTTCTCAAAAATCAAAAGGAGAGGGAAAAGAAAAATCATGGGGGCATTTGACATCAGTAGTTGACGACCATAATTGCAACATATTTTCAAAGTTAAGAGTTCTATCTGTTAAAATTGAAAACTCAAGAGTCCAAAATGCTAAACACTTGTAAATTCTGGTTGCACTTAGCGAAAAAAAAAAAAATCCTTGCGAAATGTTGTTCTCGTGAATCAAATAACAGAATAATATGGAAAAAAAGGTTGTGCTTTTTTTTTTTTTTTTTTTTTCCATTTTTCAGGTACGAATGTAATTTGAAGTTTGAACCTGTAAGAAAAATCATTTGGCAACATAGATAACGTGTTTGTGTCCTAGAAAAGAATAAAATTTTCATTTAGCCCTTTCTTTGATGTTGATTTTCCTCCTGTTTGACGTTGTCTTAGCAATTGCCCACATTTTTAACGCACGTGACATGCACATGGCCATTTTTTGGTTCAGTTTTAGACAGATTCTTGACAGAAGGGACAATATTTGGAGGACACTGTAATATTTCATGGTATAGTACAATGTTTATAACTGAATGTCAGAACCGAACATAGTTCAAGAGTCCCCTTACAGTACGACCAAATTGTACAAAAGCTTTGGATGATGATGATGATGGTCTACAAAGAACTTAAAAACAGTAGCATGTTTGTTTCCCATGTTTAAATTTTTTTAAAAAAATGAATTTATATTTCAATTTTCTGTTCAAATTTATGATTGAAAATCCATACCACAATTCAAAAACTTTAGATTGATCACTAACGTATAGTTTTTTTTTTTTTTTTTTTTTTTGAAATTGTTGCTCGGTCCTGTCTGAAAATAGTAGTCCGTTTGTTTTGCATGTTTGAATCTTTTTGCGGTAATGTTTTCTCTTAAAAAAAAAAAAAACTTGAATTTATATTTCAATTTTCTGTTCAAAATTATGATTGAAAATCCATACCACAATTCAAAAACTTCAGATTGATCACTAACATATAGTTTTTTTTTTTTTTTTTTGGGTAGCCATGTAGTTCAAGGGCCATTTTGAATATTGGTAAATTGTCCCGTCTTAGGTAGTGTTGTTGCACAAACAAACTAGTCAGAACTTCCTCATATATATATATATGGAGCATCACAGGCCCTACAAAACATTCTACTATTAAACTACCGTCATAATAATATATCTTGCCTGAAAGAAATTCTGAATGATAGTTAGCACAAGTATAAATATACTACTGATTCTAATGATTAATATTGTTTCCGTTGAGGAATCTGGTTCATGGATTAGAATCATGTGATTAGAACCGTTTTTTATTTACGTGTATTTTTTGTGAGAGAAAATACTGTAGCGAACCATGAACCATGATTCAAATCATGGTTTGAATCCTCCAACCAAGTGCAGTGTATTGTGTACAACTTTCATAGATCATGAGATTATACGTCTTTGTCTACTGACTTTGTGAAGTGCTGGTCTAAGTAGGGGTATAATATGGTATTTATTTTGTATAATAATAACTTCAAAAAGATGTAATATTAGTTAAAAAGTATGTTTTTATTGCACTTTTCTGAATCATTGTTATATAAAATAATTAAGTTACACTTTTCATTTACAAATAACATGTAAGTAGTGACGGAGCAACAAACTATGTGAGGGCATGTGATCTTACGAAAGTTTAATTTTTAACTCTAAAATTTTGCAAAATTCTTGTTGTACAAAGTAACTATTAAAAATATGTATAATTATTTTTCTGTTTAATAGAAAATTATTTCTAATTATTTCAATAGTTTCTCATTGAAAAAGTTTTCTAGCTTGCCACTCCTTGCATGATGGTCATGGTCATTCTTAAAAGAGCAAAGCCTATAAAATTAATGAAATGCAATTTTTTTTTTTTTTTTTTTTTTTTTTTAAGAAAATCCTATTTCCAAATTAGTTGACACGGAAGATGATCGAGGAAACGAATTTCTACAATATATAGGAAGGAACTAGTGACATTGATATGCAAAAATTAAAAATATGCAGAAATATGATTATCATTTTTTGTATATATATGTCGCACATTCCAAATGGTAATAGCTTAATGACATTACTCTTATACTAATTGTCTTTACATATATGTATATATACAACAATATTCTATGATGTTTGGAGAGGATTCAAACTATGATTTAAATCATGGTTCATGGTTTGCTATAGTATTTTCTCTCACAAAAAATACACGTAAATCAAAAATAGTTCTAATCATATGATTTTAATTCATGAACCAAATGTCTTCAGTTGTCTTTGGCACTTTGAAATATGTTATTTTCTCTCTCAATTTATTTAAAAAAAAAAAAAGAAATTGCTCTTGTAGTTTATATGTATACCTTTAAATACGAGAGAATACGTCCAGTCCCTGATGTAAATTTCTGATGATATATGGTTGTAACATAAGTACATGACTCATTGGCTTTGGGACGGTATTTAAAAGAACAATATTAGCTTATGGTATATACTTTGAATGAAAAATATATAGAAACCTTTACGGTTACAGTGTAAATAAAAAATAAAAAAAAATAAAAAAACCCTTTTTAGCATCCGTGTTGTAGAATTTTCCCCTAACATTAAATGCTTCTAATACACTAACCATTGAGTGGAAAAAAGAAATTTAAAAAAAAAAAAGAAAAGAAAGAGAAAGAGAAAAGGAATAGAAAGAATAGATTCTGGCAAAATAATTAGAGAGTGAGTGTAACGTGGAAGTTGGTTGCAGTCCATTGTTGCGTGGGGAAGGCCAAGTGTTGGTAAAGGAAAGTGTGCGAAAGAAAAAAAAATAAAAAGTAAAGGATGCTTTTAGAATTCGTTTCAAAATGATTTTATTTTTTGTATAAAAATAGAAATAAAAATATTTTTAATTTTAGATAGAAATTATTTTTAAAAATGTGTTTAGTAGTTTTATTAAGAGATTATTTTCAGTATAAAAAAATCTATTAATGTCTCTCTCTGTGCTCGAAAGAGGAGAAAACGGAAACAAAAAATAAAAACGACAAAAAGTCATTTTTTATTTCTCTCATATTTTACACTAAACTAAAAAATCATTTTTATTTTTATTTTTTATCTTTAATTATATTAAACGTCATTTCTTTTCTATTTTCATTTTTTTCTGTATCGAAAAAACGTGAAAAACAAAAACAAAACCAATTCCAATAACAACTAAAGAGTTGAAATTGTGGAATGTGATGCGTGGGATTTGTAGTAGTGTCTGCAGCAGCAGTAGGGTCCACTTTTTCATGATACTAGTCTAGGAGTTGCCTCTTATTCAGGAATTCTTACAAAAAAAAATGGTAATTAAACATTTTATTTTGGTGTTTTAATTGATATCTAACTAATTATATCATGTTACGTTTTGTAAAAAATTTAAATTATTTTTTAACTGATTTTTTCTGTGCTTATTATTAGATAATGTAGTATAATTTAATTAATTAAACATTAATTGAGACACTAAAAATTAGAAAAAAATCATAATCCATGTAATTGAGGAAACCTCTTGTTAAGTAGTAGCTCATTTATGTTAAGGAAAATACTAATTATTGTTGTTTTCCCAACTTGTATAAATGTGAGTTATTGTGGTAAAGATATACATGTCATATAGCTTTACTAAACACATTTTAGCTTAGTGTTTTTTTATTTTTTTATTTTTTTTTACCTACATTGGCTATTAGGTGAAGCTCAATAAATATACAACCTCATAGGGTATCAAAACATAAGTTTGATATAAATGAATAATGTTCAATTTTTCCCTAATTAAAAGTATTGAAAAAAAATAATAATAATAATAAAAGAAACAGCTCTCATTTATTTGGTAACCAAATTTTAAAGCGTTTTGAAATTCACCCTCCAAATTTTCCCTTCTGTAATTTAGCTTCTCAAGCAAATATAAATGCCCAAAGAGACCAAGCTTAAGTAACTGACATTCATGACCATGAATGAATTACCAGCATTTAAAATAAAAATAAAAATAAAAAAAATAAAAAAAAAAGCCCAAACAATTTTGAAATAGGAGTGTGAATAGATTCTTCAAACATAGAAAGGCCAGCAAATAGAGGAAATCCCATTGGTAGCATGGCTGCGCCTCAAAGCAAGTGTAGGGCACACAATTAACCCAAGGTTAAAATTTAACCCAACTCCAATTCTATCTCTGACCCATGGTTAAGTTTCCCTTTAGTTTTTCACTCTCTTATAACCCCCCCTCCCATTTTGCTCTCCCTCCTAAGTTCTCACCCACAAAATTACAATTACAATACAATTCTACTATTTGGGTTTTAGCTCTTTTATAAAAGCACTCTTCTTCTCTTCTCCTCAACTCAATCTCTCTTTGTTTTGGTAAACCACTTTTTAGGTTACCAGAA